ACCATTATTTTTTATATGATCTATAATTAAATCCCCCGCTTGTCCTAAATATCCTTCACACCCCCCCCCCAAGCCAGCCACAATAAAGAGCCACACACTACAGCTGGCTGTTCTTTCACATTCTTGAGTGTCCTCCTACCCTCTTTCTGTTCTTTTGTGACACTCGGTTTTTTTTAGTTGTCAATGGATCTCTCGTTTTATTTATTTATACGTGGTGCTGAGGACTGAATCCAGGGCCTCATGCATACCAGGCAAGCACTCTACCACTGAGCCACAACTCCAGCCCACAGTGATACTGAATTTTAAAAAGCATGGGACACTTGTGGCATTCTCAGCTTAGATTCCACTGTTTGCTCATGACTTGATCCAGAGCAAGTATTTTCAGTAGGCATGTTAGCCCTGTGATTGATTTCAAACCTCTTAGATGAGAAAGGATAAGCTATCTTTTCTTACCAACCACTCCTGTGGTTCCATCTCCAATTTCATCATCCTGGGATTTGGACAGTTCAACCATCAACTTGGCAATCTGATGATCAACATCCATCATACTTAAAATGGTGGCCCCATCATTAGTTACAGTCACATCGCCATCCTTATCTACCATCATCTTATCCAGTCCTAGAAAGAAAATAATGCTTAGAAGGCCTTTTTTTTTTTTTGGAGAAGGGGGAACCCAATACCAACTCAGAGATCTTTTTATTTATACAATTTATTAGAAAACAAATAATTCAACATACATAAAATACTGTATGAAGACATTTTTAGACTGGCTAACCTAAAGCAACATCACACTGAAAAACAGATCTAAGTGGCTAAAACCAGAGAAATAGAAAAAAAATTATGGACCACCACTAAATATATGAATTTCAAAAGATAACAGATATAATTTGGAAAATACTAAGTGATAATAAGTGAAAAAAAAGTGTGATGTAAAACTGCACACACAATTAACAGAACCATGTTTAAGAAATCTGGAACACACTAAAACATTTGGGCTGTGTAAGGGTATGAGACACTGTACTACAGTTTTCTAAAGATATTACATTGACTTTCATTTAAAACTTTTGCTAAAGAATACAGATTTGTTAAGACTCTTACCATTTGGTCCAAGAGATGTTCTCATTGTATTTGCTACAGCCTTTGCAGCCATTATATGGGACTAAATAAAACAGAAAAGACACCCAGTTACAAACCATTTCAATAGTTAGAAGCAGAGGTGAGGATTTCCAAAAACACCCGTCTCTGCCTGTCTGTCTTCTGGAAGCTTCTACATTTAAGAGGCTATCGACAGGTCTAACACTAAGTGTGTTGACAATTATGATTACTGGCTTCAGTAGGCAAAGAAAAGTAGAAACAGAATTTGACTGCTTTCTGTTATCCCATTTAACCCTCGACATGTCAATGTGTCAATTCTCTCACCAGCCAGGGCCTGGAGTCCAACTACAGACATGCAATATATTGAACTTTCATACTGTGGTCTACTGTGAAAATATTCCTGTGGGTTCTACATATAACATATAACCCAAACAGAGGAGTTACCCTTGCCTGTCAAAGGTTTTAAGAAAGATAATTCAAAGAGAAAAAGTTCTGAATAGTGGTTAAGAACTTGGTAATAGTGATTCTGTGGAGGCACATAATTGGGCAGGCTGCTCTATTTTAACCTGTTTAAACTTTCTCCTTCCTTATCCTTCCAGTTCTGTTTCTAGAGAGAAAAATATAAACCTTAAGGCACCATGGTTCAGTTACATCATAGACTAAACAGGATTTTGGTGGCTGAACTAAGAACTTAGCATGCTTTGTTTTAGGTTATGCACCTTTAGAATACAATTCCTTCCTAAGCCAACTACCCTGCATTTTTAAGGCAAATTGTTATACAGCAATGTGTTATACAACCAAAGAATTTCAACAAAATACTAATTAACTTTAAGGCTTTAAATAACAAGGGAAAAAGAGTTTGTAACCTTTACCCATGAAAATGTTATGGCTAATGACATTTCCTTTATTCTTTCCCATTTTGGTTCTCTCTTAAGTCAACTAGATGTTATATGAGATCAGAGGATTCAAGGTACACACCCTCAAACTGAAGAGCCTCAAAGTGTGCAGAATCAGAGCTTCTAAATTCTTAAAAGACTTAATGTTACTGGTTTAAATAAGCCTTAGGTTTTTGTTTCTACATTTTAGGAAAATAAATAACATGCCTTGCTGTAACATCTGGACAGGTTTATTAATTTGCAGAGAAATCCTTGGAACTCAGAGGTGTTAGTTACAGCAAACAATCTTCCTAGTTGACTGCCACCCCTCTGCAAATAAAACTTATATGCCAATGACATGAGAATGCTAAGATAACCAAAGCTTGTAAATACCCCTCCCTATCCCTACACTTAATTAGGCTCACATTTCCTCCAAAGGCTGTTTCCTTTCTTTTTTTGTTTTCTTGCTTTAACAACCTAACTCAGATTCGAAGCTCCCTACAGAATTTCAAAGTCTCATATCGCCTTCTAGCCCTTAGTTCATTCCATATCCAACTAAATTAATTTTCCCAAAACAGCTACTTAATACTTCCAAAACATTAAATAACTTCCAGTGCCTCAACATGCAAGTTAAAAGTTACAGTTTGTTCTTCAAAGCCCTTCACAATCTGAAACTCAACTTTCTTCTGTGAAAATGATCTCTGCTTGTTCTCTAAACACATTTTCAATCTCTAAGGTGTCCATGCATAGAAAGCCCTCCTCCCATCAAAATCCCCGCTACTCTTTAAAGCAGTTCAAATGCACATGTTCAGTAAAACCTTTTCGGTCAGCCTGGCATGTTACAAAAGATATAAAGTTCATTCAGTCTGTGAAAACACTGGAAGCCCTTAAAATACATTTTGAAAGGTATGTCTTTATAGAGAAATTTTAAAAAGATAACCATCATAGGGAAGAGGTTCTTAACTGGGAGCAGTTTTATCTCCCAGGATACACCTGACAATATCTGAATATGTTTTAAACCATCAAAATTGGAGAGGGGGTTGGATATAATGGTGCACAACTGTTATCATAGCTACTGAGACAAGAGGCAGGAGTTTGCAAGTTCAAGGCTAGACTGGGCAACATGGTGAGATCCTGTCTCAAAACAAAAAACGAGGGCTTAGTGGTATAGTGCTTGCCTAGCATGTGTGCAAGGCCCTGGGTTCAAACCTCAGTACTGCAATAACAGAAACAAGCCCAGCTGCCCCCAACAAAATCTGGATAGGCAATGTTACTGCCATGTAGTGAGTTGAGATCAGGCAAACTGCTAGGTCTCCCTACACAGTGTAGGGCTCCACACCAAAGAATGACCTACACCCAAATGTCAACAATACCAAGGGTGAAAGTGGTGCTCTTTAGTAGCTATGTACATGGGCAATTTCTCTGGTCCTAAATTTCCAGTTCTGTAAAACTGTACCTATCCCATAGGGTGAAGACTACACAAAAAACTCCATATAGATAGCACAAAATGGTTGATACAAAATAATCTGTACCTTTAATTGTATTGTTAAATTTATGGTGAGCTGGATGTTACTTTATCTGCAATTTCCTTTAGGTGAAAAGTGGAACTGAATATGTAATATGAGTACCTTTGAAAAAAAATTTTTTTTTTTTTAAAGAAAGAAAATGAACTGTGAGTACCCAGCATGGATCAAGCACTGAGGCTTCAAAACACTATTTCAATACCTGTCAAGTCCTCTGGCAGTAATTAGCCCGGCTGGGAAACCAGTCCAGAGAGGCTGTGTAACTTAAGTCCAACAGTCAGAACTGTATTATTTAAACGACAAGACACTATGTGAACCTGGTGCCATGCTTTACCCACATAAAACGCCTAAAGGGCCCCATCCCAAAATGTCCCTTCCTATACATTTTCTCTGCTACCATCTGTAGTCAATTCAGAAGATCCTTTCTAACTTGGACTCTTGCCCTGATTTCCTTAAAACTTCTTTATTCTGCTTTATTCTGTTCAGTCTAGCTCAAAACGTTGCCTTCTACGGTGTATCATCCAATCCCTGATCAAATGCCATGCCGTTATCAAATGCTTGCAGGACTCCCTTCTAATCACACACCATCCTGAATTATAGACATCTGTCCATTTTTCGCTCTTTCAAGTTTCCACGACGCCGCACACATAAAAAGCACTCAAAAGTGAAATACTGCGACTAAACCTTTACGAGTGACAAAGAAAACCAGCTTGTTTCTTTCGGGCTGTTGCGGGTACACCAGCTGAGAGCTGGACACACAGCCTTAACCAGACGGGTGGCCCCGCCCAGAAGTCCAGCGAGCTCTGGGGGCTGCAGAGCCGGCCGAAAAGCGGTTCTGCTCCTCGCGCGGGCTGACCTGGGGCCGCCGCCCAGCTCTGGGGGCGCTGGCGGCCCGCCCCAGCCCCCACGAAGGCAACGGCGATGTCGGGCAGCCTTTCCCGAGCGCAGGCAGCGGGGTGCGCGGCCAGGGCCGAGAAGGGCTGCCTGAAGAAGAGGGTCTCCACTTTCCGGCCGGCACATGGCACCACCGCGCCTAAGCCTGCGCAGGCGCAGAGCCACAGCTCCGGCCACCGTCCCTTATTCCACCGCATGCGTGTCCCGAGCCGTTACCTTGAGGGCCTCAAGTCCCATAAGCCGAGACTTGCGGTCCTGATCCTTGATGATGAGGAAGGGGCGCCCATATTCATCGAATGCGAGGGTCCCCACGGACGCCATGATTCAGCCACAGGAGTTACTTTCCCACTGCCGATGGAGACCGCTCCGGAACTGAGAACGCGCCTTCCTCTCGCGGGAGGGCTCAACAGCTCGCGCATGCGTAGAGAGACTGCTGGAGATTTATTTTTTAACCGAGACTAGTTTTACGCCAGACAGTAACTTCTGGAATCAGTGGCCTTTGGAAGCTTCTATCATCCAGGAAAGTTGAGGGGGGGCAGTGCGAAGACACTGACGGGGACTTTTAGAAACACGAGCCAAGAGTAGGACAAATTTAGTCACTTCTTTGAATATTTACGATATAGAGATTCCGAGCGGTGGGTCCCAACGAGAAACTCATTTACTTAAATCATTTTTTGAGTTTCCCCCCTCCCCCGACTTGGAGGACATGGTAGGATCCACTTCCTCTCCCTGCGTCCCGCAGGAAGTCTCGCGATGGAGGGAGGAGGTGAGGCCGGAGCGGCGCGGTCCTTCCTTTCTGGTGTGGGACTGGCGGCTCTGTGGGGCTCGAGGACTGCAAAAGTCGGGTGCCCTGTCCTGTCCCCGTGCTGGGGTCGTGGGCCCCAGTGGTCGGCCGGCGCTGTGTGCCGGGGGCTGTTGCGAGCGCCGTGGGGCACGTACCTCAGCCCTCAGCGCGGTCACCCTGCCGCTCACAAGCCGCGTCTTTGCGCTGCCCGTTTGGTGCCTTTGTACCTCAGTTTCCCTGTCTGCGAAAATGGCTGTAATGACAGTCATATCTACCTTTCATAGGGCTGCTGTAGGGGTACAAGGAGAAGTGGCTAGTCCTTTGCACGCGGTGTTTAAGTGTTTGCTAAATAAATACACATTTTGCACATGTAACCTAGTAACCCTCACAAAGTTAGAAGCTAGTTAAGAGGCAAAGTTAAACAGCCTGTTGCTCAGGATCCTGCTGCCTCAGAAATATATTTCTTGTTAATCTTAAATAGATGGTACCTTATCCCTAAATCGCAACCTATAGGTAGATTTATTTGTTGTGGGTTTCCAGTTTTCTTCACCCCATCTTCTATAGGACAAGGGTTTGCTCCTGTTAATTACTACCAATTTTTATTAGGTCTTGAACGTTGAAATAAATGCATATATTATAACATTTGGAATGGTTGGTGGTCCATTAACCTCTTTTAATGCTTGGCCCACCTTTTGTCTAGACTCGGTGATACATCAAGGGCATTTTAGATTTTGTAGTAGGGTCTCATTTCTGCCGAGTTGGTGCTTCCTTGTTCACACTGGTGAAGCCTGCAATTCATTTTGCTCATTAGATAGTTGTGAAGAATGGAAAATGTCTAATAGCATCCTTTGTGTAATTTATTTCCTGTTGAAACACAGGCGTGTTTGGAGGATTTTTCCTAATCAATAGCTGATAACGCAGCAAAAAGGACACAAATGACATTGGACCAATACAAGAAAAGCCTCTAAAGGAACATAAGCCTTAGTTATACTAGTGTGCATATGTGGTTACACAATGAGCAGCCCTAAGTCTTGTGACCTTCAAATACAAACCCTATTTCAAACATGTGGCTGGTCACAATTCCAAACAAGCAGGATCTTCCTGGCCTTTTTCCTTGAACTTTTTGTACATCTTGGTCCCTGTCTCTGTCTTTAGTTAATCGGAATCTGACCTTGAAAATTGTGTTTTTCAACCAGTATCAGAAGTCACTGAGTAGACAGGTCCTGGAGACAGAACAGAAGTTAACCTTGTGCAGTCTTCTATTTTTAAGAAAGTTCTCTGAAGTCCTCACCACAGCTCTTCTTTAATACAGTGGCTTGATGTTTCAAAACAGCATATCTGACAGAAGTCTCTTGGAATTTACATTTTAGTAAATAGTCCTGTGAATCTGAACATGGCCCATTAAAAAGGATTAAAAATCCATTAAAACCCAAATATTGTAGTGGCTTTGCTCAAAAAACTTCTATCTAGTCCACATGTAATAAAATAAACACATCCTTGTATTCAAACACCTGCCTTCCTATTAATCTTCCACTCTGCTCAGCCAGGACTTACCCACCTTCCACGCCTTGGTTCCAAGGCATGTTTCATTTGCCCACCAGCTCAAATTCTGTTTCTCTGCTAATACCTTACTGGTCTCATAATTGGGATCAGTCTTCCCTCCTGCTACCCTGTATTTACACAGCATTTCCTGCATGTTACAGTGTTTTTCACCACCTCACCTGTCTACCCTAACACTAATACTCACAGGCCACTCGGAGATCCCGAAGACCAAGAGCTCTTTATTGTATCTTTTGCTGGTTGCATGGAAAGGTTTATGTTTATGCAGGTTAAGTAGGATTTTGATTGACTGACTTGTGTGTGTTTACTACAGATGGGTAAACAAAATGTGGTATAGTCATGTGGTTGAATATTAGCCATAAAAAGGAATGACGTACTGATATAAGAGCCAGCATGGGTGAATCTTGAGGACATTATGCTAAGTGAAAGTAGTCACTGAAGACACTGTATGATTTGATTCCACTCCACTAAGTTCATAATAGGGGACTCTAGAGACAGAAATGGATTAATGGTAGCTTAGGGCAGGATGGGAGGTGGATGGTGGGGTTGGATGGTAGCTGCAGGATAAGAGACTTCTTGTAATAAGAAAATATTAAAAAATTGGTGGTGGTTGACATTATCAATGAATATACAAAATAGAATATGGAGTTGTAATGTTAAGTGGGCAAATTCTATGTATATGTCAGTAAAGCTATTAAGAAATTGAGCTCCCTTCCCCAAGTTATAGTCTTGAGAATAAAAATAGCAGTTTAACAGTCATTACTCAGTCTCTCAGGCCTGTGCTAAGTCTTTGTCTGTATTATTTATTTAGCTTTTCACTAACCCTATGGGGATGGTATTATTGATAAGTCTTTTCTTTCTCAATTTTGAATTGGGGTAAAAGAATAACAATTATTTCTCAATTTTACTGGCAAGCAAACCATGCTGTAGTAGCAATTTACCTTATGTTACCCTACTTAAGTTCTGAGACTCTAGATTGTGTGATTCAAATCCTCTGAGCCACTATACTATGCAGTTGGAGTGCCCACAGCGTGACTCTATAAAGGGCAGGACAAACATACCTTGACCTCTCTAGGTAAACAAATGTACAAGTATAGTGAGTAAGTTCTTCCATTCAATGCCACAATTTATCTGAAATCATTTAAAGAATTTGCTTTCTATCAAACACTGTTACCTTCTCAAGCTTAATTTTATTTTACCTCTATCACTAGAGCTAGTAGGAGACTTTTGTTTTTTTCCCTTGAGTTAGTTTTTCACTATGAAACCAGTTTTGAAACCCCCCCCCCTCCTCAGGGGGCCTCGGAAGTCAAGAAGAATAAAGCCATGCTGAGCTGGGAATCCTGGTGGTTGGCCACTTTCCCTGAAGTGTAACCCACTGCTATGTATGCCAACATTTGGGGTCAGAATACATCGTCCCAGTTCATGGTGACATGGTGTTGTGATGCAGTGGATAGAATAATGGTTCCTCCAACAATGTCCACACTGTAATCACTTTAACCTGTGCAGATGTGATAAAGGAATCTTTAGATGGAGATTATCCTGGGTTATCTAGGTGGGCCCAGTGTTTTCACTGGGATCCCTGTAAAGAAAGAGAGAGACAGGAAGGTGAGATAAGAAGATTCCAAGATGGAAACAGATTGGAGTGATGTGGGGTCAAGAGCCAAGGAATATGGGCAGCCTCTGGAAGCTGGAAAACCTGAGGGAACCAATCCTACCCTTCAGGCTCCAGGAGGAACACAGCCCTGCTGTCCCCTTATAGACATCTGAGCTCCAGTACTGCATGGAAATGAATGTGTGCTGTTTCAAGCCACTAAGTGTGTGGTGGTTTCTTAGGGCAGTTGTCAAACTAAGCAGTGGGCCTTTGATTGGCTTACTGATAATGAAGCTATGAACAGTCACATCTGTAAATGGCAAGAATCTGATGTTCCCCCTCTTGCCTTTTCCTGTTTTCTCTGGATTTTTGTGTTTTAGGCCATATCCATGAGCAACGTGGGGAGCTACTTGAGGGCAGAGATGGTCTGGTTCGCCGTGGGCTTTGGTGTCTCCAGCAGGGTGGTGATTGGTGATGCAGTGGGCTGCTGTCTGTGTGCCCAGCCCTGTCCCGTGTGCTTTACCTGCCTCCATTCATTTTATCCTTGCAGTCACCTAGGGCCCACACCCTACAGTTGAGGAAACAGAGGTTCAGCAATGAGAAAGGAGGGATTCAGGGTCGAAGTAAATTGACAGTTGGTGTCACAGGGTCAGTGGGCTCCAGAGGAGACACACTCCTCCCTCCTGTGCTGTGCTCCTCATTTACCATTTTTAAAACCATATCACTTTTACATCCTGTTAAGAGCATTAAAGGACAAAACTTGAGGATGTTTAAAGTGACACTCATCTCTGTGATCAGTGTTTGGAAGGTGTTTGTTTTACTCTGATAATATTGAAATGACTCTTATTTTGTTCTTTTTGGATCTACTTTTTTAAAAAATTTATTACTATACTTAAGAGTTTGGTAAAATCTGATATTTGTCTCTTCTGTTACTTCAAAATTGCATTTGTGAAATGTATTATAGATGCCCGGCCAATTGTCCTTCTTGAATTAGGTAGTATTTGGACATTTTCATGTGTATTTGTTTATGAGGCTTTCTTTGTTCAGAACATAAAAAGCATGTACTAATGGATATTGAAATGGATATTGAATTAATAAATTACTATACAGAGTTTGAATACACTGTTTTCTTAGGTGACTCCTAGATATCAGTAAACCAATATGTTGAGAAGAAAAGATTTTAGTCCTCCAATTCTATTGGATAATTTTCTCCAAATCACTTAAATTTTGTCAATGAAATCTAGAACTCATTGTGGAATCTTAACCTTGTAATTTAGATTATGTTCAGACAAATTGTCCTTTCTTAAAAAGCATTACTTTATTTGTCAATAAGAATTACAGGCCAGGCACAGTGGCACACACCTGTAATCTCAGTGACTCTGGAGGCTGAAGCAGGAGGATCCCTAGTTCAAGGCAAGTTAGCAAGACCCTGTCTCAAAATAAAGAATAAAAAGAGTTAGGGATGTAGCTTAGTAAACCTTGGTTCAATTCCTGATACTAAAATAAATAAATAAATAAATAAAAATCAGAAAACAGTATAGTCCTGGATTTCAGATTTGTCTTTTTTTGCTTTCTCTCTGTAGGTACACTTCCAGAAGCACTGAAAGAAGAAAGGCAGTTGGGACACATTCTGCCCACAAGTTCAGAAGCCAGCAGTGTGAAGAGAAGCCCGTGGGGGTTCCTCCTTACTGGGATTGTAGGTGGAGCACTGGTGGCTGTGTATGCTGTGGCTACACCGTTTATCACACCAGCCCTGCGGAAAATTTGTTTACCTTTTGTGCCTGCAACTTCAAAGCAGATTGAAAATGTTGTGAAGATGTTGAGATGCAGAAGAGGACCCCTGGTAGACATTGGTAGTGGTGATGGACGCATTGTGAGTTATGTCACAGTATTTTACGTTTGGAACAAGGATAGTTAAAATTTCTCTTTATGTTTCTTGTGAGGCCTATGCAAAGACTTGCCAGATCTGTCAGGTTGAGAGAGTAGTTTTTTCATTTTTTTGTTTGTTTGACTAAACTGTTAGACCACTAGCATGTGTTTGAAATTTTTCTCAGATTTATTTTTTTCTTAAAGGAGGAAGAACTCTGTAACCATGCCAGGTAGAAAAGAACAATTTATCAAATTGTTAGAATTCTTTGGCCAGTAAAGGTGGCATAATTAGACAAAACATATTTGATCATGGAATTTCACAATTCATACTTATTTGCTGCTCAGATGTTTGCTTATGTGTTTCTCAGTATTTATTCATATTTAAATCTGAGTTCCTATGGGGTAACATGGAGTTAAAATAAGGAGGAGTCAATGAGAACCTCACTTAGCTAAAGATCAGGTTTTATCAACTTCAGCTCAACTTGACCACAGTGGAACTTGTAAGTAAAGACAGGGCCACTGCCTGGCAAATGAGCCTTCAGTGTGTAAGGTGGCACTGTCCTTAGGCTTCATCCTGATGATGCACTGGAGAGAAAGACTGAGCCAGAGAGGTGTGCTAGAAGCAGGTAGTGTGGAGATCAGCAGGGCTACACACATCTCACCAGCCCAGTAGACCCAAATTCTGTTGTTCTGTGATCATGACCTGGGAGTATTGGGAAGGCTTTAAGAAATCACTCTTGTTTTTTATTTTTTAAATTAAAAAAATTAGAAATTGTGATAAAATACGTTTACTGTCTTAAGCATTGAAAAACGTATACCCAGTGGCACAAGAGCATTCTCCTTGTTCAGCCATTATCTTGCCCCTCTGCAGCACTCTTCGTCTCACAGAACTGAACCTCGGCATATTAAACACTAGTTCCCTATTCACTTCCTTCAACTTCTGGCAACCACTAGTGTTTAAGAAATTGGGAGACGTGTATTAATTAGGAGGACATATTTGTGTCCATATTGAATCCTTCACATACGTGAAGGGCACCTTTCTGGTTTCTAAGAAAGTGGTTGCCTTGTGGCACTGTAGTTACTTGGGAAGTTCCCTTATGAGACAGCTCGGTAAGGGTGCTCCCTTGAAGAGTGGGGTCAAGGCATATTGGGTAGAGAGATCCCAGGACCTCCACCATACTTACTGCCTTTGGGAGACCAGTAGGATTCCATAGTTGACTTTTTATTTAAACTCACTCATTTCCCCTGTTTTTATTATTTGTTTTTTATTTTTTGGTACCAGGGATTGAACTTAGGGATGCTTAACCACTGAGCCATATCCTCAGTCCTTTTTAAATTTTTTTATTTTGAAACAGAGTCTTGTTAAGTTGCTTAGGGCCTCACTAAATTTCTGAGGCTGGCATTGAACTTGCAATCTTCTTGCCTCAGCCTCCCAAGATTACAGGTGTGTGTCACAGCACCTGGTTTTTTCCCCTGGTTTTAATTAAATTATATGATCGTTAAATACTAAGAAAATGTGTAACTGATTGCAGATTCTTCACCAGCAGGTCATTTTATTGTTATTACTTGTTCATGAAACTATCCTCCCAGGCTTGTTCACTTAAAGCTGCTGTGTAGCCCGCTGATGGAATGAAAGAGGTGGTAGGTTCTCAGCAGCTGCTTGTTAGGGTTGGTTAGACCAGATTTAATTACACAGTTTTCTGAAGCAAACCTCAGTGTCTGTTCTGAAATTAAAATATTTGATGAAAGCCAGAAAACTTGAGTTCACTGGGTTGGCCATCACCAAATCCACAGGTTTCATAACTCTGGAGACACATTTTTACATAGTGTTTTTATTAAGGAGAAAGCTTTTTGATTTTAAGAATTTTAAGTCTCAAGTAGAAAGTATTTATATAATTTGACCACATGTCATAGCTTTTTCTTCTTTTTAGTAAATCTCGGCCTTTTTCCAGGTGATAGCAGCTGCGAAGGAAGGATTTTCAGCTGTTGGTTATGAACTGAATCCATGGCTGGTTTGGTACTCCAGATACTGTGCTTGGCAAGAAGGTGTGCACGGCTCTGCCAGATTTTATATTTCAGATTTATGGAAGGTATGTAAAGTGGTGGAGGATAGTTCTAGAAAAATCCAACCAAAAGCTTTTGTATTGTAATTACCACGACTAACAACTGGAAAACGTCTAAAAAGAAAAAAATAGTTAAAATCCAATGAATATTTTGGCATAATTAGATGTATTTTAAACAAATTTTACAAGTAGAACAGAAACTTTTAAGTTTATAATATGATAGGTCATGTGAATTTCAAGAATTTATTGACTAAATTAAAATGTTCTCTTTTGTTTGTTATGGAATAATGAGATTTTTTCATCTTGTGGAAATCCTATAAATTGTCTTGATAAATGTCTGTCTCATGCACGTGTGTGTGTGTGTGTGTGTGTGTGCGTGTGCGTGTGTGTACATGTGTACTTAGGCCATGAGGAGAACAGAGACTCAACTAACCATACTGTCAGGGTTACTTCTTGTCCTCATAAAGTGTGAGGCACTTCCAAATTTGTTTTTACTCTAGAAAGAGCCCTGTAATTTTCCTGTAAGAGTGCTCCATAAAATGCCTTAAATAAGAGTTTCCCATTGTAATATCTTCATCAGTAGCTTATAAAAATCCACTAGAGTTTTGCTGGCATTGTTTTTCACACCATATATAACTAAACATTCCCTCCATAGAGTAAATAAGGTTTTTATTGAGCAATAGAATTTTGACTGGCAAAGCACTTCCTCACATCCCCCAGTTTTCAGCTGTTGAGAACCATCATACTGAACTTTCTCCATAGTATTTTAGAGAGGTGGAGGGGTTAGAATTCTGACGATGGCTCACCATAAACTCTGTGGCTCTGAAATCCCTCGAGTTCTGCTGAGCTGGTTGGCGTCTGATAGAGTGAAGTGGGAATGTGTGGCCCAGGTGCCAGGCTTGACCACCCTGGGAGTCCCTGGCCTTAGAGTCCCTGGGCGTGCCCTGCATGGAGTTCCTGAGGATGCTGTAGTTATGGGGGAGCATTTGGAGAACTCAGGAGTTGGACTGGCATGAGTGGAAGTGGGAGCATGGTGCTCACTGTGCGTACTTAGTGGGCCACTCTTCAGGAGCTTGTGAAAGCCCATGGCTTGGCAAATTGCTACTCCTTTCTATGCAACAAGCAAGCTTAATGTCTGACTTTTCAGAATTAATCTACCCGTTGTTTCCTGTTTCACTTAGGTCACCTTTTCACAGTACTCAAACGTTGTTATTTTCGGTGTGCCTCAGATGGTGAGTATACCCCGCCATGGTCAGTGTAACCCCTCTCCCCTGTCTGTCTTGGGTGGAGGATGCTACAGGCCTTTCTAGAGTCAGCATGTGGCCACTCACCCATGTGCAGATTGGTGGCCTCCAGGGACTTCTAGGGCACATGGAATTTCAGTTCATCGGTTTAATAGAATAGTTCAGGGTCCTTACATTTAACCATAAAAGATTTAGTCATATTTTTAAACCTCTGTTTGAGATAAAAATCTCAGTGATCTACCAGGGTCTTAAAATTCCAGTCTGAAAACTTCCTTATGAGGTCCCAGTGTGGAATGCAGTTCACGATTTTCATGGCTGCTCACTTTAGACCAAGCCGAAGTCAGTTGAGGAAGTTAATGGGATGTTCTCTTTGAGTTGATCATTCCTCCCATTTTGCAGGAAGATAATTTTCAGGGTGGATGAGCATTGACTAGTTTCAATTTACCTCAATTGACTGATTTGCTGAAGATCTGAGTATTGAACTTTGATTTTGTGCTTTCAAAAGTGAAAATACAATAGAATTCTCCTGAAAATGTCCTCTTCAGCCCTGGAGAAGATGGTCAGGCTGGGATGCTTCTGCTGTAATTGCTGGTTTACAGACCAGAGAAAGAAATCCCTTTTTACTTTTCAAAGTCTATAATTGTAGCCATAATAATCTGGGTGGAATTGGATGTTTGCAGAAATGGCACTATATAACTGATACCACTTGTAATTAAAAAAAGGGAAATTTGCTTTTTTTGTCATTTTATTCAGATTTATATAAAATAGAATGTTTTAGTGCTTGAGAAATTTATTCTTACGATTAGAACCTTCAGTGTAACATCATGCTTTTTAATTTTTAAAGACAATTTAGAAATGTTTTTGTCACGTATCCGTGAAAGGACTGCATTTTGTATGTTTGTGATTTCATTAGACCTAAAGTTGACATTGAACTTGGAATTCTGCACTTCTATTCTGAAAGTGAAGCCAGGTAGCAGGACAGATTCCTGACTATTTAAAAAAACTATTTGGGGTCATATTTGATGAAGAGTTTTGATTGTGTTTCACTCCTTATTATAATGTTTGGGCTTTCCTTCTTTTAATGGAATAATTAGCATTTTGGAGATATGTAACTTTAAGTTGAATTCCACACTTTGTAAAAATAGAAAGTTAATATTTGCTGGGAATTCCATGCTGTCCAGAGAGGTGGGATGATGCGCTGAGCTATGGGTTACAAGGCCATGCAGCCTTGACCCAGAGGAGGGCAGCAGTGGCCTTTGGTAAGGCCACTGTCATGTGTGACCTGTACAGCCTCTCCTGGGGTTTCCTATCATGTTTGATTATAAACAGTGTTTGGAGCTCTTCACTCAAAGGCAGTAAGAGCCTTATTACTTCAATAAGTGCTTTTGTAATTATTGCCCTATCTTCAGTACATAGGAGCCTGTGGTGTTCCACTCTTCCTGAAACCTTCCCTGTGGTAAGAGGATTCAGCTCGCCTGCATTTCCTATGTTAGTGTGTTGATTGGGGTGCAGGTGTGCTGGTGGCTTCTGTTGGCCCAGAAGGTTGATTTTCACATGTGGGACCCTCACCTTTTCAGCCTGCACCAACCCTGCCTAAGTGGAGGAGTTGGGGGAAGGGGAATGTCTGACTGGGAAGCTGGAGGCCAGGTTGGCTCTTGGGATTGGGCCTGACTAGGAGTCCTTCTGTTAAAAGGCATTCCCATTTTCTGAGCACTGGTATTATTCCAGTCATGGTCAGATGATGGCTCAGCCAAACCAGCACACCATGAAACATTTCCTGTGGCAGCTGGTGCACAGGTATTAACGGGAGAGCTAGGACAATCCTTGGAGAGGTACAGAGGGAGGAAACCTGGTTGTATAGATCCTTGACCCTGCTCCTGATGCGCGACTGATTATGCTTAACATCAGGCCGTTGTGGCACTTCCCCACAAGTGTGTTTCTCACGTGATAGGATGAGGATTCTCATTCCGATCTGCTGACTCAGTCTAGGTTTGTAGAGATCACATGAAACACCAGCGTATGCACCAAGCATGTCTTTTCAAAACCCAGAACAGATCAGCCACATCCTTCTGTAAAACCCGAGTTCTTGCTGCTTTTCAGCAAGGATAAGGCCTGGATGCTGCGTGTGTCCCTTAGGCTGGCCTGGAGTGGCCCCTGCTCACCTCCAGCCTGGCTTGCACCATGCTTCCCATAGCTCTCTGTTCAGCCCCTATCCTTTCAGCCTCTGGACTTCACTGGGCTTCTCTTGCCAGATCCTGGGGCCATCCCTTCCCACTTATATGTTTTCCACCCTGGCCCCAGTGAGCACCTCCTGGCCACTCATGGGCCAGTTGTCCTTTCCTCTGTAAAGCTGTCCTGATCACCTGAGTTGAGCTGAAGCACTCTGTCTTCCATTCTGTAGCACTTGTTCCCCTGTCCTCAGAGGAAGCATCTTGCACCTCCTTGTCTGTTGGCTCTACATGTTTGTGTGTATACACTGTATAGTGACCTCAGGGGTGTGGCTCAGCTGTCCTCGATACATGCCTCCAGCTCATCATCTCTTGGCAGAGCAATTGTCAATAAATACTTGTTGAGTGAATGAATATGGTGTAAACATACCCATTATCTATACTTTCCCCAGAAAGCTACTAACTGTGAACTTCAGAGAACCACTCATTTGTTTTGTTATGAATTGAATGAAAGTATCATTTTCTGATAAAGAAAAGCGGCTCATGACTGAATGCCTATCCTTCTACTCTCTGTTCATCATTTATGGCCACTTTGCACCTAGCTCTGTTCTGATCCCTTGGAGTATCTAGTGAACAACAGAGAGCACCCCTGCCCTGAGGTTCTATGCTGGTGGGGAGCATAGGTATTAAATGAGACACATAAAATACATCGTTCATAAAGGGAATAAGTGCTGTGCAGTAACTGAAATTAAAGGAAGGGTGGTGTACACTTGTACACAGTGGAAGCTGGCCTCTAGGTCATGAGCTCTTGAAGGTGTCCATGGGTTCAGGTATGGACCAGGGTGGGTTGGGTGGTGAGAAGTGGCTGGAAGCAGTGTGTGAGGCTTGAATGTGCAGAAGGTGCTGAAGCCAGGAAGGCTAAAGTGACCTGGAGGAGCCGACCGTGGCCTGATCTCTGCACTCCAACATCTGAAGTCTGGGATACGAGGGCCACCAGCCAAGGACCCCTCAGGGAAGCCTGGTGTCAGAGGCGCTCCCCACCCTAGTGGGCAAGGGGAGTGTGTCTCCAGAGAGCAGGGATAGGTCCAGCACATCTGTGCTGCTGCTGGACATGGCTGATCTGTCTCATGCTTTTGAGCTAGTTCAACTTGTGTTTAAAGTTTTAAAGGTGTAATTAGAATAAGATGAGTTTGTGTCACTTTGAAACCTGTAATTGTATGAGTAATTGTGGATTCCATTCTACAGGCAGGACACATCACTGCTTCTCTTTGTGTTTGATATCAAGAGCCAGATTCATTGCATATTTATGTGTAATTTAGTCAGTTAATTTCTTATGATTGAAATAGCTCCTTTCATTTTTAGGTTTATCTTGACTTAGCATATGACAATCATTTGAAAATAAAAGAAACTATAAAAGAGAAATGAATAATAGTAATATGAATAAGTTTGCAATTATCCTTTTGATGAGCAAAATTACCATAAGAAACCTCTGATATTTTGGAAAAACACACATTGTCTCATTCTTTGCTTACTTAATTTTCCCTTCAAGAAATGAAACTTTTTAAAAAAACAAAACAAAACCCTTACTGGCTCTTAAGAACAGAAACCTCCCATCCCTAATGGAACTTATCCTTTATTATCTTGGAATTGGTTCTAATGACAAGTTAGGATTTGGCTAACTCCAGCCATAAGTCCTGTGCAGGAGTTATTCCAAGTCACTTTTACAAGACATAGATCAGCAATAAAACCTTCAGGGAAGCACTATTGATTTGTTCTTCTTGCCATAGTTGGTTACTTTTAAAGGAAGCAGTTGTTGCTCAGATCTTGGTTTCCAAGTATCATTTTTCACTAAGAGGAACTGGGAATCTTTGAGAAATGGCTGATCTGGGGCTGGAAAAGAGAAGATACAAAAGCTTCGAACATTTTGTTGAGCCAAAATATAAGGAAGTACTCAGAATATTTAATGGGAGCTTGTCCAAGAGACAGAGAGAACAGCTGTGGGAGGCTTCCACTGATCAAATTAGGACAATCTGAGCATTAGAATAAACAAGGACAGTAATGTATTATAACTCAATGAATGGGATGAGATCATAGGTGTTCATAGTTACTGATAATTGTAGACAGAGGGAGATGGGGAAGTCTGGAAAATTCTTAAAGTAGAAAGCTGATTCTACATTTAGAAAAAAATGACAGAATTAGCAAGTTGCTACTTTGCAACACTTGTGAAAATGGAACCTAGTGAGGTCAGAATCATCAACAAGCACTACTTCGAGGGTAGGGGTTGTTTGATGAGCAACAGTTTGTTTGGATCATCTCACAGCATCTCCCCCCTCAATACTACTCACTTGTTGTAAAAGGGAAAATAGTAACTATACTGTGGAGATCCCAGATTTCATCCTAATCCAGTGATTAACATTACCCTCAAAAGCATCTGGGGAGTCCTGATGAGTTCACATCCCTGAAGCTGGGGCATTGGGAACAAACTTGAGCAGCCCGAGGTGAGGACCATTTGATTTATTGTCATGAAAGACAGAGGTAGGAACAAGTCCAGATTAAAAGAGATCAAACAAACATTAGAGCTAAATACAAAATGTGTCTGGTCTGAAGTCTGCCTTGGGGGAAATGTGATATAGGACACTACTGGGACAATGACAAATTTGGAGTATTATTGGAACTATTGTGGGAATATGATGTTAAGGTTTCTGAATCCCATGGCTGCTGTGAGTGTATAAGATGATAAACTTTCTTAGAAAATACACACTGAAGTGTTAAGGAGGAATAGGGTATGCTATATGCAGCTTCTTCTCAAATGATTTAGGAAGACTGTCATAGAGGAAGAGAGCAAACATGATGAAGCCCACGTGACAGAATGTTCAAACTGGTGCCCTGGGGAGGAATATAGGACTTCCTTGTTCTGTTCTTGCAAAATTTCTTTCTTTCCTCCCTTCCTTTCCCTCCTTCCTTTATCCCTCCCTTTCTCCCTTCCTTCTACCGGGGATTGATCCCACAGACACTTTACCACTGAGCCACATCTCCAGCTCTTTTTAATATTTTGTTTAGAGATAAGATCTTGCTGAGTTGGTCAAAGCCTCGCTAGCTTGCTGAGGCTGGCTTTGAACTCGAAATCCTCCTGTCCCAGCCTCCCAAGCTGCTGGGATTATAGGTGTGTGCCACTATGCCCAGTGCAAATTTTCTGTAAATTTAAAATTATCTTAAAATAACAAGCTAAATGAAGAAAGTAGGAAAAAAAGTGTTTTTAGGACATGAGGTATTACTATATTTTTAGGACCTACAGATAAATTTCTAAGCAGCTTTTTTTTTTTTTTTTTTTTTCTGATATAGTTAAAAATGTTGATACTTTTAGCAAATAATAAAACCCTTTTTTTTATTGGGGAAAAGTCTAAATAGGTAAATAATTTGAAGCTGTTGCTGGTTTTAATTATTGCCACAACATAATTTTAGATAGAAACTGGAAATCTATGACATATGTCTGCCAAAAATGGATATTTTATAATTGATACTAGAAGATATTCTTTTAAGTGTGGTTAATGTGTCTTCTGTATTAATGGATTGTTTGATGATGTGTTTATACCTGAAGTGACCTTTTTTAACAGGTGTTTTCAGGGCTTCTTGAATAAAAAAGGGTGTTCTGGAATCACTTCTTTTGCCTACCTGCTTACTGAAATAATGGCTGTTATTCTTCACAGATGCCGCAGTTGGAGAAGAAACTTGAACTTGAACTTGAGGATGACGCAAGAGTCATTGCTTGCCGATTCCCTTTCCCACACTGGATCCCAGACCATGTTACCGGAGAGGGGATAGACACTGTGTGGGTTTATGATGTGAGCACTTTTAGAGGAAGAGAAAAGAGGCCCTGAAAACACAATGTGTTTGAGAATCGATGAGAATCGATGCCTCTCTGGTTGTTCAAGTAGGAGACTTCTGAGAGTGCTTTTTTAAAGCATTGGTTGTCTTTGATTCTATAGAGACCTACAGCAGTATCTTTAGCAACAGAGCCTATTGTTCTTTGGTATGGAATGAGAAATTCGTATTATTTTCCTTAGCTTTTACATAAAACAAATAGAAGTTAAGAAAAACAGGTAGACTTAAAATCCACTTTTAATGGAATATTCTAAAAAATGTACTTACTGCCTTTTTGTGTACTTGGATGCATGAAAATATTAATAAGCAATGGTCATGTTTGTTGGTAGGAAAAATGTTAACAGCTTTTTACATTATAAACTATATGGTTTACTGCTTTAGATCAGGAGAAACAATTATTAAAGAGTATTAACAAATGTTTGCAAGTTTCCTGTAGCTTAATTCATTCTTAAGATTTTTCTCTTTTTTTGTACTTTATGGCAAAATTAATTTTCTAAAGTTTCAGAGAATCTTTTAGATTTTATAACATTTTTTTAGGAATAATTTGGCTATTGGATTATTAGGCTAGTGGATTGCTACATTTCATTGAATCTATAATATGTACATGTGTGTGTGAATGGGTGTGTATATATGTATGTATACATTTTAACATTTCTGGAATTGACATATTTTGTAAAGCTCACAGCACATAGTTTTGGTTTGCAAATGGTATTCATTATCTTAGGCACTAAGGAAAAGCTTATTCATGGAAGTTGCAGATAGTTTCTGCTAGTTGTTTCTTTATTTCATGAGAGCAGCCATTTATTTAATATTTCTCATTTATGAGAAAAGACTTGACTGATTTAGATAAGTTAAAGAAAACCTTTGAATCTGAGTAGACAACTTTCATATATCTGAAAAATGAATATTGAATGGTGGCTTGAATAATCTGTGCTTATCACAGAAAAGAATTAAACTCCCAGTCACACATCATAACAAAAATGCTAAACTATCTTAATGGAGATTTGATAAAAAAGATGGTTGCATCTTTAACTCAACTGATAAAAATAGAAGCATTGATAATTTTCATTTAAATGAGAGCTGTCTGGGGACACATTCATGTAGTCATTCGTTCATTCCACATGTTTGAACTGAGCATCTACTGTGATAATCCTGCAATTCCATGGAGATTAGATGAGCTGGACCTGGGCCTCATGGACTTCCTCTTCTCTAAGGGGGGAACAGACAAGTAAGCAAGAAGCAAATGTAGTGTGTGTAAAATTCTCTGAAATAAAGAAGCTGTGAAGGTATTGAGAGCTCTGTGTGTGTTTGGGATGAGGGGTAGGAGTGGTAGACATCTGTTGACTGCTGCATTCACCCCCTTCCCCAAACCCTGGGTCCTATGAGAAGGAATTCTCCCTGAGGTATGTAGCTTTGGTGGGAGGGTAGTTCTTGGTGTCTGGCTCTCATTTTCACCTTCCACTCTAGCCAGTCCTATAATTTTTCTGGGTATACTTGGAGAAGGACCTGTAAAGTCACGGTGGGCAAAGGCAGGATTTTGAACAGCTTTGGGAGTATTCAGCACTCCTCTGATGTAAAACTGGTGGATTTCTAGAAGTGCTTGACTCTTACAATTTGCAGTTTCTGGAGTCTCTCCTTTAGCTATCCACAAATGTTCCTGTAATCTCAGAGTAAAATGGACCATTTCATAGAAGTGTTATAATTCTGTAAGATCTTGCTTTTTTAAAATTAAAAAAATTTTAAATTGTGGCTTGTTAAGTAAATGGTACAATAACAATTTTTCTATAGAGGTTATTGTGCCTTCTCTAGATGATCTGAATTTTTGTCCGTTACTAGGATAAGGACACTGATTATATTTGTTCATGACACAAGATTGGGAATGAGAGCTGCTATGTTGGCTATCAAAAGTAGGATTCATAAGTGTATGTGCTGAAACCAGGGGCCAGTGCTAACATGATAAAATTTAAAGTTATAGAAGAAATAATGTGGATAGCACAATGATACTAGTACTAGCCCAGCATGCATGAATGTATGAGGCCCTGGGTTTGATCTCCAACAGTGCTAAATAAATAAATAAAATAGGAATACAGTGTGGGGGTGATTCTCCTCAACAGGCCCCTTGGTGAACAGACTGGTCATTTCCATTGACACATCTGAATAAATCTTTCTCCTGCAGCATGATGCCCAGGACATGACCTCTGTGTTCTTCAACTGTGGCAGGTGGACCTCCTCAGACTCTGAGGTCCTGGCATTCAGAATTCCTCAAATGTTCAGCTCCACCAAGTACAGGTAAAACCAAGTAAAGAAATGAGACCCTCTTCCACATTCCCTGTTTTTCCACCATTGCTGGGAGATGGTGTGCCCTCTGGCAAGTCATACCAGACAGAATAGAGGAAATGCAAGATTCCTGACATTTAAACCACATGTATGCCACAGTACCTTTCCCGATGGCCAGAGGTACAAAGACCTGGCTGTGAAGGAAGGAGCGTTCTGAGGGCTGGAAGTCCTCTCAGCTGTGCTCTGACATGTTCTTAGCCTCACCCTGGCTGAGCACATTCCAGGAAAGGCCTCTGTAGTTGCAGAGTACATGACTGGAGTCTACTTAAAGTACCTGGTGATGCTGCTGAACCGGTGAATTGACCCTGAGCCTTCTACCTCAAGGCATCATCTTAGGTGAAGCCATTGGTCCTGGCCTTCATGGGACCCTTAGGGGAATGAAGGCAATAGATCACCTTGGGTCTGTGCTGCCTGGCTGTATTAGTCAGGGTTCTCTAGGGGAATAGAGTCAACAGGAAGTCTAATTATAAAAAGGGGATTTATTAGGTTGGCTAGAAGCTGGACAGTCCACAATGGCCATCTGCAGGCTGGAGAGCTGGCAGAACCAGTAGCTGCGCAGTCCAAGAGGCTGAAGCCCCAGAACAAGAGGGATCAACGGTTATACCCTAGTCTGAGACTGAAGGCTTCTGGAAACTCTGGAGAATCATTGGCAGAGTCTGCTTTGGAAGAGTGAAGAAGCGAGAGTCTGGTATCCTCAGTTGATTGATTGCAGCAGCAATCAGGAGCCCATTCAAGAAGAACTGAGCTTGCATCTGCTGCTGCTTCCTTGTTCTTCCAACTTCTTAAAAAATTTTTTTATAGTTGTAGATGGACAGAATGCCTTTATTTTATTAATTTTTATGTGGTGCTGAGGATTGAACTGAATGCCTCACTCATGCTAGGCAAGCACTTTGCCACTGAGCTACAGCCCCAGCCCATGTTATTCTAACTTTTATTCCATCCAAGCCATTATCCTATTGGATGGTGTTGCCCACGCTTAGGGAGTCTCCACTTCAGTTGGTTATCCCACATGCCAATCATTCCTAGACACACCCTCATTGACTGATTCAGAACTCCCTTAATCATTGGCATCTCTTAATTCAATCAAGTTGACAATTCAAATTAACTATTACACTGACAGTAGTGTTGTCAAGTGCAGGAACTGGTAACTGAGAAGAGCCATACCTGGCACTCTCCTGGCTGTCCCTGCTCTGCTAATGTTCCCTTGGCACTTAGGAGGGAGTGGGATTGAGGGAGCCAGGTTGCAAGGGGGGAGGCAGTCTCTGGTGGGTTGGCTGGAAAGGAAGGTAGACGTCCCCCAGAAGTGATGGTGGGAGTTCATTGAGTGGGTTCCAGAAGTTCCCCTGCAGTACCTTTGGATGACAGTTGGCGGTGCAGCTGGAACTGTGCCTGCATGGGGAGGTCACCTGGGTCATTGGGGCTCCTTCCTGGCTCACACACCGGATACCTTTGTTGTGGTCTGTCCCCACATGAACGATGGATTAGATGGATGAAGTAAAAAAATAGAAAGTGCAACAGAAGAAGCTTCATCAGTAAATGGAAATGAATTCTGGATGTGTGTACTCCCCGCTCCCCAGCACAGTTAAGTAGGCTGTAAATATCTGCTCTGGATGAGAGGATGTTTGAGGCAGTTGCCATGCAGAAGACAGGAAAGTGACGGATGTTACTGTGTGCCAGGGAGCCCCGTGTACTGTTTCCTCCCATCATCCTCAGGTAGGTGGTGCAGTCTTCAATGTGTTGTTTTTAAATCCAAGGGGTATTATTGCCAACCCGCTCAGTCACAGCCTGACACAGGAGTACAAGACCTTTATGGTGTTCAGTCGCTTACCTGGAATCTGTTCTGATTGGCTTTGGGGAGCAAACCAGGGTCACTGGGTAGATGCTAAGGGGACAAAAAGTTTAAGTTCAATAGGAAGTGCAGTCTTTTAAAAAAATTTTTTTAGATGTTGTTGGAGCTTTATTTTATTTATTTATATGCGATGCTGAGAAGTGAACCCAGTGCCTCATACCTGCTAGGCAGGCTTTCTACCACTGAGCCACCACCCCAGCCCCAGAAGTGCAGTCGTAAGGCGTTTAGAACTGGAATGTGTTGCCTTCAGCTGGCAAGCTCCTGGGGAGCAGAGGCTGGACAGCCACTTGGTGGAGATGTTGCAGAAGGGATCTGCCTGCTAGTCGGCAGTCCCAGGATGACCTGCAGTGAGGACGGGTTTTCCAGCCCTAGCGGTGCTGCCTGAGTCTGTGTAGAACTCCGAGGTCTGTGTAGCACTGAAGCAGCCTTTGATGATGGAGGTGATTCACATGTTGCTGACAAACTTGGCATCCCCACAAACATAAGGAGGCTATGGCAGTGTTTTACTGTCGTATTGCAAAACAAAGAAGTCAAAATACTGGGAGGCTGACAAAGGAAGATAAATTGTACCAGAACCCCAGCTGTGAAGTGTGATTCCTCAGTGGAAAGTTGGAATCTAGAAAACTCCAGACACTTTAGCTAGAATGGACATAGTTGTGTTTACTCAGTACTGATTGAGACCAGGAGACTGTTCTAGAAGCCCCTGGTAGGCATATGTCACTAATGGCACCTCATACTCTTTTGTTTGTTTGTTTTTTTTTAAGAGAGTGAGAGAGAGGAGAGAGAGAGAGAGAGAGGAGAGAGAGAGAGAGAGAATTTTAATATTTTATTTCTTAGTTTTTCGGCAGACACAACATCTTTGTTTGTATGTGGTGCTGAGGATCGAACCTGGGCCACGCGCATGCTAGACAGGCGCGCTACCGCTTGAGCCACATCCCCAGCCCACCTCATGCTCTTTTGAGTGGCACTGCCCTCCATAACCCTGTCAGGGGACAACCTTATGAGGACCAAAGTGCCTTCCCCATTCATCCCCAATTCATCTGACTAGGGTTGGGCTTCTGAGCCTAGGGCAGGCTGTAAACTGGCCAAAAAAAGTAACTGTCAGGAAGAGATAAGATGAGCTATGTGGATTTCATACTGAGAATTTAAACTAGGGAACAGTTTGGGAACAGAGAAGTAGAAACTAAGGATACAAGGCTGAGGCGAGAGGTGTGGTAGCCACAAGACATTGAGAGAACAACAGGCTTCTCTTAGTTCAGCGAGCCAGCCTCTGTCCTGAGAGGCTCCCCTGGCCAGCGGCTCCCCATCTCCACTCTCCATCTCCACAGATGGACCAGGGAACCTGGGTACCCCAGAGCAGAGCCACAGAGCTATTGTTGAGCCTAGCCTGTCCTAGCCTGTTCCCTTATCTAATCAGGCCGATGAACCTATTCCTCAAAGAACTCCATTTACAAAGCAGATAATTTTACAACTAGTAAAAATACCATTTGTCATATCAGGTATTAAACACAAGAAACTTGCTGGGTGTGGTGGTGCATACCTGTAATCTCAGTGGCTTGGAAGGCTGAGGCAGGAGGATCATGAGTTCAAAGCCAGCCTCAGCAACTTAGCAAGACCTTAAGTAACTTGGTAAGACCCTGTCTCTAAAAAAGATACAAAAAAGGACAGGGGCCAGGCATGGTGGCTCATGCCTGTAATCCCAGCATCTCAGGAGGCTGTTGCAAGTTCAAAAAACCAGTTTCAGCAATGGCAAGGTGATAAGCAACTCAGTGAGACCCTGTCTCTAAATGAAATACAACAAATAGGGCTGGAGATGTGGCTCAGTGGTCGAGTGTCCCTGAGTTAAATCCCCAGAAACCCCCTGCCCCCCCAAAATGACTTGGTATTTGGCTCAGTGGTTAAGTGCCTCTGGGTTCAATTCCTAGAATCAAAAAACAAACAAATCCAAAACCAAAAACAAATATAAAAAACACCCAAAGATAGTGCATACTAGATATTTCAATAGAAAAAGGGATATTTATTTAAACATAAGGATAGCTGCATCTAAATGCCACAAAGTTTCTTAGCTCAGAGAGAAAACTCTGGTGATCTGGGAACTTTAGC